GGGGCCAACAGGCAGTCACTGGAGCGGATAGTTTCTGTGGTCCCGGGAACCATCCCCGTGGAATTGTGTGGTACCCAGAGCAAGGTGTAATTAAATCAAGAGGGGGACAAGGTAAGCTGCAATCTCCCTGCTCTCAGGGCCTTGGGAAATTCCCATTCATATGTAGGACACGAGAGGCAGGGGAGACCAGGGCTTCACCTTAATGAGATGAGCCTGAGCCCTGCCAGCTGGCGCCCAGAGATCATGAGGTCCGGCCGCCGGTGTCTGTCTAGGCACCGCACTCACCCGCACACTTAGTTCTGGTTCTGAGAGCCGGCCCGGGAGACCCGGTGCCGCCCTCGCCCGGCCTGGTGAGCAGCACACTGATCTCATACTCCGTGTCTGGGTCCAGGTGCCCGATCTTGTAGCTGGGGGAGTCCACGGGCTGCCGGTCGCTCCAGCTGCCGCTGGCCGTGCAGTATTCCACCTCTCGAGCCACGATGGGCCCGTCGCCGTTGATGGAGTTGGCGTTGAGCTGGATCCACAGGTAGGTTGCCCCGACGGAGGCCAGCTGGGGCGGTGCGATGGGGACGGGCGGCTCTGAAAGGAAGCCAGAGATCTCCTTCAGACGCTTCTCTCAGCAAAGCTCAGTGTGCAGCTCATCAGCCAGCACAGGAGTGAACGGACAGAAGGGCTCTCTTCAGATGAACCAGAACACACACAAGGGCAAGAGCTTCCACATTCACAACTGTACAACGAACGCTCCTTTGAACAGGGTGCGGTGTGCACACCTGCCAGCCCAGCCTCCTGGAAGGCAAAGGCAGGAGGATCATTAGAGCCCACAAGCGGAAGGCCACCCTGGGCAACAACTACACAGTACCAAAATGTTTTAATTCTCCTCCCTAAAAGTAACTGGCATAAGCACTCTCTGGTAAGCATTCTACTGTCAACCTCTTCACGGAGCGCTTTCTCAAAATCATCAAAGGTATTAAAATTCTCCACACCATTAAACTGAGCTTCCTTTTACTTATCTTCCAAGGACGCCATTGTTTGAAAAATACAACTGAAATTACAGCTGATCTCATCATAACGCACTTCTGGGATGACGCTTTCCCAGAACACTGTCATGACAGACTCCCTCAGCGGGAGAAGATTGGAGAGACCCAGATAACAGAGTCTCCCCACTCAGGTCTACTCCTGCTACAACCCGGACTGAAGCAGAGAACGCAAGGGAGAGCTCGGAATCAAAGAGCAGGTGATGCCGATCTGATAGAAGTCTAAGAAACCAACAGCTAACACTCTTCCCCGGCCAAGCAAGTCTCTCCTGTTCACAAGCCAAGACTGCCTTCTTCCCACCGCTGTGTGACATGGGCAAGACAGCCCATCACCATCTTGCTCCGGTTTTTCCAGCGCATCGACCAGAAGTAGTTGGCTGGGCTCTGGTACCAAAGGAAGGGATGCCAGGCACCCATGTCACGGTGACCAGCTAGACCACTGTACAAAGCAAGAGGAGCCATGGTCTCAGAAAAACATCACACATGGAGATTTTCTGCAGTGCCCAAAGGCACTGCTCAGACCTGTGTGTGGAGAGTAAAGCCTGCGGGCCCTGTCCCCAGGATACAGGGGCAACTGGCTACAGCTCTTCCTTCTCGCTCCATGACAGCCCACAAATCAATCCCACACTATTTCCAGGCCTCAGCGAGCAGGTTCTCTCCACGGCCACCTGTGAGATGCCGAGATGACCACAGGTTGAGTCCTAGAACCCTCAGGAAACCGGCAACACTGTCATACTCTCTGCAGGGTTGGGTGTCTGTTATTTCTTATATTCAAGGTGTAAGTCACACTGACTATAAAGTAGCAGGGGAAATTTCATTAGATCAAGTCAAAATAAGACACTAAATTTTGAATGAATTTTATTGAAGGGATGACAGTCATCACATAAATGTGCTAAAGCACTGCTCCTGTAGCTTTTACACTGAAGGCCTGTGTTTTTACACAGTTGTGACTGAACCCACAATGATTTAGGATCAATTTTTATCATTAGGGCACTTCTTGAACCATAACAAGAAATGGGCCTTTTATAGGACATCCTAGGGCGCTTGTGCAGCCAGGCTGAAAGACGGGTTAATTACTTTCAAGTTGCAAATGCTAGCGAGGGCTGTTGGATTGCCATTCAAGATACACTTCAGGGGCAAAGGGACTAAGGTTCCAGGATAGAGCCACACATCCAGGGTACTGCTAAGAGCATCCTAACACAGACATGGCTATAATGAAGGTGTTCTCAGAGAACAACTTCTATACTAATTCCCCAATAGGAAAAGTAATTTGTATGCTAAGTCAATGATAGATTCAACTGCAACTTGCAAACAACTGGGAAACATATCCAAAAGGACTCCTGGTTTATGTATCAATCAACACAAGAATAAGCTGATATTTAAATTAGGAACACATTTTCACAAAGGAAGAGAAGGAAGAGGAAGGAAGAATGGATTTCAATCTCTCCTAAGGAGAAAAAGGATAAAAAGCAATTTAAAGTATTTCTTCCCTTTCTGAGACAGGACCTCTGTATGTTATGTTGCCCAGGCTGGGTTTGAACTCACAACACTCCAGCTTCAGCTTTCAGAGTAGCTAGGATGACAGGTGCCAATGCATCAATCTCAACTGGATTCATTCAAGTGGAAGGATGCTACAGAACCATCTCCAAATTGAATCAGTCACGAGAGAACTTCCATCCGTATGCACAATGTACACACATCTCCAGGGCACTTCAAATTACAAGACCTAAAAAGGGTTCCATTAGGGACGAGCAGCCTAGAAATGTTACTGCTCACCACAAAGCAACTGTCCCAGGGAGACACTGTTAAACTAGCACAATGCAGCGTGTTATCCCATTTTCTAGAAATGAAGCCTATGTAGGATGTGGCTATGCACTTACACATGGAGGAGAAGACGAATTTCAAGTGTGAGCCCTACAAGACACTGTCACTGTGGGGGGCTCAGGCAGTGCGCAGAGGGAGAGAAAGGCAGCTAACACCCACTTCCTCCCTGAGCCAGCAGAGAGCCAGCAGCTTGTCCCAAGACAGGAAGTGTGGTGTAGGGCTGTGAGGAAGGGCCCTTCAGCACTGTTGGCAGCTGTTCTGGCAGACGAGACCGTTCTCGCATTCTTGTGGATCCCTGCAATGAGTTTCCCCACAGACCCCATTTCTAGATCTGCACCTCAGGGATCAGGGAGCCCTGCAGCCTGATCCCCAGAGGGGCCCAGAGAGGACAGGCAGACGGACAGCCAGGAACACAGAGAAAGAGCCCCACAGAACTGCACTGAGAAGCGGGACAGCAACAGCAATGCCAAGGACGCCAGCCAGCTTGTGGTGGGCACCGGGCCTGCTCAGGTTTGTACCGGGCCACACTGGGCACCTCCCTCCTGGGGTCTTCCACAGGGCGGGGTGGCCAGGGAGCATTCACACCACGTGTAAATATTGATCCTGAGCTGCACGTGTTACCAGGTGGCCAGGCCAAGCTTCACAGCGACCAGAGCGCCTGCGCGTGGGCTGCAGCAGGGTGCGAGTGCAGCGATGGCTTTGGGCGCGCGCTCCTGCTGGAGGGCTCCTAAGTGTGTCCCCGAGGAAGCCCGTGACTCCCCCATGTCCCCAGCCTCCTCCTGCTCAACGCACCCTATGGTGTGCACTGCTCCAAGTTGGCACATGTGCCTGGGGCAGTCAGGGACTGAGCATCGTGACCGCTGCCTCACACGCGAGGAAACAGGCATGGCCGGGGCTACACTGCCCACCAGGTGAGACCTGGATCTGCCCTCATCTTTGGGAGGCTGAGGCAAGGGGATAATACACTGGAACCCAGCCTGGGCAAATTAATGTCTTAGTAAGATCCTGTCTCAAAAACAAAATTAAAATTTTATAAAGGGCTGGGGATGAAGTTTAGTGCAAATGCCCCAAGTTCAATCCCCAGTACTGGGGAGAGGTCGTCCTTGCCAAGAGGGATTTGCTAGTATAAGTAGCTTACCCAAAGAAGATCAATTTTATGATCCATGTGTTTAAAATGCAAAAGAAAAGTTTAAAAATAAAGCCCAGGCCTGGGCATGTGGTTCAGCAGCATAGCGAGCGCTCAGCTCTCTGAGGGCCCCGGGTTCCATCCTCACCCCAAAATCACATAAAATAAGGCATCATTTTGCTCTCCTAGGAAAACAGCAATGGCCTGCCACAGCTGTCTGAAAATGCCTCATGGCAAATCTAAAATGCCAAGATTATTCTGTGTGGGACCAAAAATTGCCTCAGCAGCTTAATACTATGAAGTCCATGGCCCACAAGAAAGCATTAAAGCAGCTAAAGGAAAATTATTTCTCTTCTCTTTTTTCCCTCATTCCCCCACCATCCTGAATATAATGACTCAATTTTCTAGTCATGCAAAATACAGTAACAGAACCTAACTGGGAGGTTATGAATGCTAACAGTGACATCAGTACGGCTTGTGTGATAACGACAGAGCATTTTATACTGACACAGCCTCCTTTTATTAACCACCCTGATAGCCTAAACACGCTGCCTGGTAAATATTTTTGCATTTTAAGAGATTTTCTATCAGTAAAATAATTTTAACTCCTTAAAAAAATTTATAGGTTGTGATCTGTATATAGAAAGCTAGCGGAAGACCTTGCCAGGAGCACATTCAGTGCTTCGTATGTGACTAACCCAACACACATAACTGATGTGTTTCAAAAAAATATTGCTCACACGCACAATTTGTATTTAAAATGCAACCCATCAGTACAGCCTGTCATCCAGCCCCTGTTCAGAGAGAGGCAAGGGTAAGTCTGAGTTTTCAACAAATAAGGAGCTAACAACCATCTCACATATCTGTTTCAGTAGATGACTGTGCAGGAGAAAGGCACGTTCAATACCTTTAACGACCAGTTCTGCGTAGTTTGACACCCCAACGCCTCCTTCGGTGCGGATCATGCAACGGTACCTCCCCGCGGCACGTTTGGTTGTGTTCACGACTCTGAAGGAAGCTATGAACCTTCGGGAATCGATCGATTTTATTTCCTTCAGGAGAGCATCAGGGACCTCGATGCCCTGCAGCATGGGGCGGGGGGGGGGACAAAGAGAAGCAACATGAGAAAGGGCTGGACACCCGGGGTACGTGGTCAGTGTCCTCCCAGGCACATCTCGTTCCTTGTTCGGCTCTCAGGGCTGCTATGTGAGAACGGCTGGCCAGGGAAACCCCAATGCTGGTGTGATCGACTCTTCACACATCCCAGGATGCAGGTTAAAATGCAGTGTGCAGAAATGTCGAGATACTGTGTGCATCGAGTACCACTGGGGACACAGAAAAACAGCACAGAAAAGATTTCATTGTATCCCCTCTCAACATCAGATCTTTGCACGACACTTCATCATATTTTTTATGCTTGCCCAAGGATCACCTGGTATCCCATTCCTCATGCTGTATGTGAACAAATAATTTCCAAGAATAACAATAAAATGTATACCAAGAATAACAGTAAAATGCACATTAGCTGTACCACAGTGACCAGGGCTGGAAGACTAGTCCAGTTTTATGGTGTTTTTCTGAGATTAAAAGCAAAAACAAAAGTAGACATCTGCCCAATACAGAATGTAACAAGAGAGGGTCACCTCCAGGAGGGAACAAGAAGCAGGTTCACCATTGGCCAGGTTTGTCCTTTTCCAACCTGGGACACAAAGTCTTTCATTTATGCATACCCGGAAGTCTACTCTATGCTTCCAAGAGCTCAAAGCCCCAAAAGAGAGCTGAGGATTTCCTTTTTTGTGTGTGTGTGAAACAGGGTCTCACTATGTAGCTGAAACTGACCTGGAACTCACTATATAGACCAGGCTGGTCTCGAAATCACAGCGATCCTCCTGCCTCAGCCTCCTATGTGCTGGGATTACAGGCATGTGCCACCACACCTGGTAAAGTGCAACAAACTGTTGCTGGGTGTTTTTTTTTTTTTTGGTACTGGTATTCGAACTCAGCACCTTAAGCTTGTGAAGCAGGCGGCAGAACCACTAAAGCTAAATTCCCCGCCCAGGGATTTCCATCTTACCCCGGCCCCCATTACAGGGAATAAAGCTATGTTGAAAATGTTATGTAATTATTAGTAGAAATCAGTAAATAAGGATATCAAGGCTGATTTTGCCCACTGCTTACCCACAATGCTCCTGGGGTGCCAATCATGGCTGCCACTGCCAAGACATTAGGTGAGCAGATGGAAAGTATGCAGGGCTTACTCAGACAGGGTGGCACAGACATGGAACAAATCCTTCACCACCGATGATGGCAAAGGTCACAGGCCCAGCAGACGTCACAGTGTGGACCAGCCGCCCTTGGACGTGAAGGCCACGGGAAGCAGTGCTGCGGGCTGAGGATGCAGTGTGCTGACCAGGCAGAGGAGCAGCACGAAGGAAGGTGTTCTCCTCACAGGAAACAGAGCAGCAAGCCCAAGTGGTCACGAAGAGCTGGCTAAGGCCAGGGCAGTGAGCAGAGCTGGGGAGGGTAAGCCCCAGTACCAAAGGTCTCCCGGGCTGTAAGAACATGCCTCTGTTCTGAGCTGTAAAATGCAAAGCTGCAGAAGAGTACAGCTCAGCTGGCTCATCCAAGTCTGGCATTATGCAGAGTCCTGAAAGCTTCCACCACTGATGCCTGCCCTGGCAGCCTGGCCTCGTGGCCAGTTTGGGGTAAGCCTGACCAGGTTGTGGGGTACACTGTATCCTTCAGAGGGACTTCCCTTCCCAGGGGCCACTGCTGTGAGAAAGGGAAGATGGAGCAGGAAAACAGGGTCATGACCAGCCCCTCCCAGCCCCTCCTGAGTCTGCACCTATGAGCAGTGGAGCAGAAGAGAGGAGGGCAGGCTGCTGGGCTCCCAGCTCTGGCCCTGTAAATGTGAGGCCCGACCTCTGGCCAGCTGTGCAGGGGGGCTTGCTCACAGGGAGCACAGGACTGCACAGACCCTCCCCCCCCCCACAGGCTGCTCAGGGAAGCACATGGCTTCTGCAGGTGAAGCGAGGCCATTGGACCTCACAGGACCAAAGAACTGGGTCCCCAACATCCCCCAGTAGGAGGCTGAAGGAGGCTGCCCCAGTAGGAGCAGGAGGGGCGGTGCCACATGTATTGAGCTCCTGCAGGGCCTTAGGAAGGAGCTGGCAGTGCCAGAAGGAAATGTCAGGAGCAGGGAGAAGGGATCCTTCAAGGCTAGCCTCAGCTCATCCGTAAAAATGGCTTTGTTTATAGTTTAAAGTCTAGTCCCACACGTCATATATGGGTGTGCTTTACTAACTGCCCTAAACTTGACCTAAAAACCAGCACCAATGGATTTTTTAAAGACATTAATGATATAAGAGAAAGCGTTCTCTGCCTTTCACAGATTTCTAATAACCACCCCCCAATAACCAAGTTCCACTACTAGAAGCACCTTATTTACTATGCTATAAAACTGCCTTTTTTCAAACTGAAAAAAATAATCTCTAGTTTTTAAGGAAAAAAAATGTAAGTTCTAGAGAAAGGCAGAGTCCCATCAGGAAGGGGTTCATTTATTACAACAGAAAGGCCACAGGGGCTGTTCGTGCACAAGCACTGTGGCGCGGGCATCCACAAGGCTGCTGTGGGACCCCTCCAGGGCCTGGAAACCTCCTGCAAGGCTGTGTCAGCTGTGCGGCAGCCGCTCTGTCTTCACACACTGACCCTGCAGCAGCAGCAGGAGCCCCCCGAGCTTCAGTGCACAGAAAGTGAGATCCCACTTCTTCATGAGAGGGATCCTGGGTTCCTGTGACCCAGTGACATGTTAGTGGGGGATCCGCACAGAACCCCACACCACGGGCTCTGCCAGCCAGCAGGTCTCTGTGTGCTAAATCCTTCACCCAGGCCTGGGTCCATGCCACTCACCCCACCAAAACTCGGTCATGATCATTCATGAGTCACACTAGGACAGACTGAAAAGCGGCAGCCTTTACCCAATGGAACTTGAAGGCTGCTTAACAGAAGAGAGAAGCAGGGCAGCGATCCCTGTGCAGAGTGGTCACTGTGTCCCACAGAACACGGAGGTGTAGGGCCTGACCCAGGTGGTCAGGGCAGGGGGAAGATGAGGCCAGCGGGCAGGAGCCAAGAAGACTAGAGGGGATGTGGCCCCTGGTGGCTCAGAAGAGGCTGCAAAGAGAAGCACAATATGGACCACGCACAGAGTGACACGCTGAGGGCCACCACTTCTGTGGATGCCAGGAGGAGCAGGACTTTTGGGAGAGGGCCCAGGAGCACCTCCACGGTTACAGGAATGAGTCAGGAGGAGTCCAGTGGAGGTCAAGGGAAGCCAGTTATTACTGCTTCCAGAAATCATAGTAACAGATGACGAAAAAGAAATGGGCAGAGAGGACAGGAAGGATGTGGAGATGTCTAGGAAACGAAGTGGGCACATGCATTCTCTCTCCTAGCAGACTGCCAGGCCCTCAAGGTCAGGGCACACACCTTGTGTACCCAGGTGCACAACACAGGGACCTGAGACATGAACTGGCTCAGAGAACCAGAGCCTCAGCGCAGAGAAGCGGGTTTCTACTACATAGCAGACTGATACCCCAGCCCTAGAAGCAGATGCCCAATTCCTAGAAACAAGGCAGACTAGGAGGGGAAAACAAATATTTTGTTTCATTTTACCTTACACAGATGAAATCTTTCCAGCCTTACTTCGCTTTAAAATTAATCTTAGGAAGGAAATATGCAACCAAGCGACTGCTGGGGAGAAACGCCCCAAAGCTGATGGAGTCAGAGGAGGAGCTGAGAGGTGAGTAGCCAGCAGATTCTGTGCTGGGCCTTCCACAGGGAGCCTGCCTCACCAGACTGCAGCTGTCTGAGCATCACAAAGCTAAGACCAGGAGGCTCCTGAGTGTGAGCTCATCTGTTACCATAAGGCAACGGACGCTGGCTAAGAGACACTGAGCTTCCTTGCAGCGCACAGCAGCAGAGAGCAGTAAGGCACATCCTGAGGTTTGGTTTGGCCCTTGTCCTGACAAGAGCTCCCAGGTGCCAAGAACACAGCTGGGGGACTCATACTTCTTCCGAAGGAACTACACAGCAACAGCAATCAAAAGGAGGAGGTAGGGAGGGCATAAGTGCAGACCAGGCCAAGGGGACGGGACAGAGAGCTCAGAAATAACCCCTCACCTATGTGACCACTGACTTTTAATGAGGTTCTGAAACGATTCAGTGGGAAAGGACACATTTCAGCAAATGATGCTGGGGAAACTGGATACCGGCAAGTGAAGGAAAGAAGAGGGGCCCCTACCTTATACCGCATACAAATACGGACTTAAACACCGGACTCCAACAGCTAATGTTGCAACTCTCTGAGAAGAAATTTCCAGAGGGAAAATGCTCTACCACCTGGGGTTCGGAATTGACTTTTAAGTATGACGCCAAATCAGGGGTTACACAAGAAAAAACTGATAAACTTGACTTCATCAGAATTTAAAAATTTGCCCATCAAAGTTCAGGAACAAGACAGCGAGAAGGCAACCTACAGAATGGGAGAAAGTATTTGCAAGTCATTTATCCAATAATGCACTGAGATTCAGAATAATTTAAGAAGTCTTATACCTCAATACCAACTATAAAAATTCAATTAAAACTGGGCAAAGGACTTAAAGAGACACTTCTTTTGAAAAAGATATGCAAGCGCCAGCTAGCCCATAAAAGGATGCCCACCACCCTTAGGGATCAGGCAAGTGCAAATCAAGTCAGAATGAGGGGCGCATCACACCCAGGGAGGCAGCTATTATTAAAAGCCAAAAACAGCAAGTGAGCCTGAGGACAGAGAGCAGTTTGAATCCTTGTACTCTGCTGATGGGAAATGAGTCATTTGGCAACTGCTCCAAGAGTTAAAGATAGAATGTCTACAGGTTGGTGGTAATGGAGGCGGCTGGGCCTAGCGGGAAGTCTTTGGTCACTGGGGCTCAGGAAAAGCAGCTGCCTCCAGCATGCACTGCCTGTGCCTACCTTCCCTCTTCTCCCCACCTCTGCTCCTGGACATGAAGTGAATTCAGACTTACGAAAAGAAGGGGTTCTGACA